GTGTTTATACTTTGAGTAAAATGTAGTCAGTCACTTGACCTACCTGTACTCCTGCTAGCTATGGTGGCTATAATCTTATACTTGTACTTTCAATGATTTAGTTATAATGGATTGGAGTTTTAGATTAAACAAGAGCCATTTATATTTATGAGCATAGCAGTCAAGTGAATGCAGCGCTCACTTGTTCCAGGGGTCGGTGGTTCGATTCCTGGGCGCACCCAGTTCATCCACATGTAAATGAGTACTTAAGTTTACAACTTAGGGATGTGAAGGTGATTGAGAGCAGTACTGTCCATGCTGCCTCTTTGTGTACCGAAAGCTTAGTATACAGTGTGCTGTATCCGCACTGCCTATGGGACCCACTTTCACACACATATTTATGTACAGTATGCGTCATGTAGATCCACAATGGAAACGTGGATAAGATAAATCTTGATAAAATCACACAGGAAAAGGGGAAACAATGGAGCACCTTAGCTTTTGTCTTTATTCAAGCCATCTTCAGTTGCCTCTGAAGATGTCTTATGTATGTGTGTGTGTGTGTGTGTGTGTGTGTGTGTGTGTGTGTGTGTGTGTGTACATTTAATGTGTCTACTTTGACCAACGAATACCCTGTATCTATATTCCTTGAGTGGTACCCCATCTTATATACTGAAACTTTACACAAATTCCTATTCAGAGTTTAAGTGTCTCAATATCATACAGTACACACCTAAAGTAAAGGGTGGGTGCCACACTTACCTCAATGATGGCCCTAATGCTGAAGTCTAGTTGTGGTTTGTATGGAGCATCATGGGGCAACGGCCAGGCTGACATCCCAGAGAACACGTTCTCCCGGCCCAGGTAGAGTCGGGAGGTGCCACCTGCCTGTGTGAACCGCTCAGCAATCACTAACTCCAGGTACCGGCGCACTTGGATATGTGCTTGTCTGCAAAAAAGTGCTAGAGTCAGTTTTATAAGTACTGTATGAGGTAATGACCAGAGACAAGTGTAATGTGCTGACAAGGAGGAATTAGTCAGTATCCTGACAATGACAGAAATTAATATGATGAGGGTGGAAACATTAAAGAACACAGAATAGGGTTTAAGGAAATGTTGTTGTGGCTTACGTGTCTTGTCCATTTGGGTTTGAATATCTTTGCGTTATTCACCTGACAGTTAATCAGAACCCCCTGGAATTATAAAACACTACACTGCATGACTTAGAATAAAATTATCTATTTTCAAGTCGTAATGGGTTAATTATTGCAAATATCACTTGGATGATGCAATGTGATGACCAGTTGTGAACAAAAGTTTGCCCCAAATGGTGAGTCACAGGATTGAGTCTCCAAACTGAGTTACCCTGATTGTCGTCTCACACGGGTGTGCTGTTTTATCTCATTTAGGGATCAATACTGCTTCAGTTTGGGAGACCCAGGGAGGGAGGACAATTTTGTTTGTGCTTCTGTAATACAATACAGTATTGTCCCAGCTCTCTCAATGTTCACGTCCTCAATAATCACAGTATCTGGTACCACGAACATACAAATATAGTTGTACACTACCTCTCAGAGATGTGTCTAGAGATGTGAAGCTCCTTCCTCCCACCCACCAGTGACTTATTTTTCACCGCTCAAGAGGGAAGTTCAGAATGTTTAATTTGTGGTGATGACTGACTCACTTGTCACTGACTTGCTGTAGGCCATCCAACACAGATGGAACTAGGTCCATTCTCTGGGCCAGGGCCTTGAACACTGTAGAATCAGACCTGCTGTAGAAATCTCGGAACTGTGCTCCATAAGGTGGCATTGTTACCCTGTGTGAGAGAATACCGAGAGATAATAAAGTTATTAAATATTGTCCTTTGGGTCTGGAATTGACACTGAAGGACATTTTCATTTAATTTGCTACAGGTATTCATAAAAAAAAGTTTGAAGCATCAAGTAATAAGAATCAGAAATTTTCTCTCCTTCTAGATTGTAATAATTTTTTTTAATCCTTAGCTATAATCCTATTAACTAATTGGATAGGGAGTGACATTAAGTCAAGAAAAGATGTGATCGAATCATGATAAATTAGTGAGTAATTATTATAAATTCTTAACAGACAAACTCTTTGTCTTTCTTCATGAATAGTTTTGGAAATACGTACTTCTGCAAGGAAGAATGATGCCCAGGTTCACTGGGTTAGTTCTGACAATAGAAGCTTAGTAAAGTGAACCAAGGACTAGAGTGAATCAGAGCCCATATAAAGAACATTATTAAATAAGTATCTTCCTGAATATGAGAAGTGGAATCTCAGGAAGCCTGCTTGATGCCACTGAGGTGATTATCCACTTTTATGCCAGGGTAGCGGTCCCATGAACATAACTTTAGTGGTATTGTTCAGTTTGAATATATTGATAGAACTTCAGGCAGTCTGGTCACCATAAGAACATGAGCAATATGGGACCTACTTTTCACATTTTAATCCATACTCACCAAAGAACTCGTCCCCCTCCACAGAAATAGGGACTTACTTCTTGACGACACTGACGAGCTGCTCAAGTGTCTCAGGTCTGGCGGGATATTTGGGTATGGTGAGAGAGGCAGTAAGGTTGCCGCGGTAGGCTACCCCAATAATGAAGGCGAACACCAGCCATGACCCAATAATTACCCGCGCCCACGACCTCCTGGTGAGTCGCCTAGACATATCCTGCCCCAACAGTGTTCTCACCACCTCCTGCACCACCAGTTGGGTGTCCATCCTGTCATCCTGCACCTCCCTAATACTCATTATGTTCATCTGTATCATAATACACAACAAGAATCAGGGAGACAAATTTAATAACTGCAATATGAATAAAGTTATGACATCAGTATTGCAATCTTAAAATCTAATGTATTTGTATCAAACTTGTACATTAAATTCTCCTTCAAACTTTCTGAAAACCTGGTGCCATTCAGCACGCTGACTTGACACACTCTAGTAATTTAATATTCCAGTATAGGCGAAGAATTGGTGGTAGGCCTACGCGATAGATGGAGTAATTAAAGAAGGTCATACAGAGAACAGTCAGAGCCTGATTAAGTGTCAGGGGATGAGTGTGGCCTCTCACCATGTATGGTCTGGGGACCCTTTACTTATACTGTAATAGGATACTTGGTCATGGTACCTCATGAAAATATGCATAATTATTCCACCTTTTATATTCATGTAACTATAAACATACAGTACACTTCACTTATCATTCGATCTAATTGTCTTTTTCCCAGCTATAAGGTATCTTAATGACAGGATGAAGGAGACAAAATCATTAATTCTAACACAACTTGAAGGATTCCATCACAACCTGAGCCACATATTATTAATTAAATTTCCCGTCGGGTGACATGCAGATGCTCTTCCTCAGTATACACTACCAGTACTGTGTTACTTCACTGATGACAATATTCATTCAGCATAGATTCTCCTAATATCATTATGGCTTATTTATTTTGTTTTCACGGAAATGGGTTGAAATAAAATTTTAAACGTGTAGTACTTGCTAAGCATTAGTGAAGACAAGGAAGGAGAGTTGCAGTTGTGATTGAGAGATGAAATCATTTAAATGTGAAGAAGGGTGAAGTGGTCTGAGGTGAGGTACCATGATGATAGTCGCAGGCACCAACACCAGCACGGCTAGGATGGACGCCCACACCTCGTCAGCCAATGGGTAGTAGAGGCTGAGGAACTGAGGCTTGAGCACTGGCTTAAGCATGCAGAAAGTTGGGGAGGCATACTCATAAGGGTAAGAGAAGTCGTACTGTTCCAAACGACCAGGCAGCATTGCGTAGATAACCGTGGCCATGAACGACTCTCGCTCCTCTACTTTTTTAGTCACCTGTTGAGGGAACACGTGTCAGCGAGGAGTACAGTAATATACAGTGCAGTAGCTTGATGAAAAAGAAGGGTCACACTTATAGACATTGCATCTTAACAATTGACCAAGACAGGCTGTGCAGACTAGCAGTGCCCGGACAAACGTGGGCACAGGACTTGAACCCATGTCAAACACATAAACAGAGACCATAAACACCAGATAACGGACAGTCAGACACCTCTGAGTAACAAAACAATGTTAATCTTTATCATTATGATCACTTCAAACACATTCACTTTAAGCATCAGAAGCAGGTCAGTGTAAAGTGTTCAAGAGGAGGCCGCAGTGATGTTGTCCTGGTGGCAGCAGTCCCTGGTATCCTCCCAACTCGCCCTACCCCCTCACCCCCACATCACAATACTGACATTACCGGATCCTTTTTAATTCTTTTAGTACGTGTGTTGTTTGACATCCCAACCCCTGTAAAGTATACTAAACTCGTGGCAGTATAAATGACTATATAAATCTAAAGGGGCATGAATATATGGGTCATATATTTAAGTTGTAAATGGCAGTTTATGTTATGGGGTGGAAACAACAGTTCTTTGACAATGAGTCGTGTTAATGTATCTGTAATGAATAGTAACGACATACCATGATCAAGTTACCATAGGCACCAGTATTGCTAGAGAGACTTCAAATATTAAGTTCCTCATTACCATGGTTCCTGTTGAAGTTGCCATGAATGACAACGATTAGTTTCTGGAGAACGACACCGTGGCAACGAGTGGTGCAGCAAGATATAGTTAAAAGTTGTCATAGCAGGTTTATGGCAGGTGACACTGAGAAGAGATCAGTCAACAAGTAGCGGTGGATTTGAATTACGTCAGAATTAAAGCCAAAAATTATAGCCATTCATAAATTCCTTATCAACACAGGTATAATGTATATAAACAATAAAATTAATAGGCATAGAAAAATACATGACATAAATTTCCATTACAAAGAAAAAGAATAGTATCTTGGGAATTTTCTAAGGTTATTTCAGCATGAATTTAAACATTAATGTGAATATGCAAATTAAATACAAAAATGCCTTGTTCTGAAAAGTTTATTTTTTATTGATAAAGGATTCTCTTAACTTGTGTGTACCTGTATTGACCTCTGTATGTATATGTATGTATATATATATATATATATATATATATATATATATATATATATATATATATATATATATATATATATATATATATATATATATATATATATATATGTAACCGGTCGGAATTTACTGGACTTTAATTTCTCACTTGACTTGGGGTTTATTAAAGATTATTAGATGAAATTGCAGTGGTAGCGCCCCTTTGAGAAAAATCCCGAAATAGCACAAGAACACTTAAATTTACTAAACAAAATGAATTGTCCGTGACCCGTGGAAGGATAGCGTCTGTGACTGGGATGAAATGAGACACTGTAAAATTTAGACACTTATATTCCCTCCAACACTACAAACACAATCAAATAATGGTACACCAATATGCGCACCTCCTAACCTGAACTTAAAACACTACTCTGGGGAATAAAGGTTATACATGATATTGAAATTATTAGAAACTCAGACAATGCCTCATTAGACAACAATAAATTTGAAGTATTAAGAAATGTTGCTTGCACACATGAAACAGGCCTTAAGGGTTTTCACAAAATAATGTCCACCACTGCAGAAATGGCATAAAAATAAGAAATTATTAATTCCACCCTGAATAGGCCTAAAGGGCACTCAATAGAATTATGTTACCCCAACAGATGCACACTTCCTAACCTAACTTAACCACTACTCTGGCGAACAAAGGTTATACCTGAGATCGGAATTATAAAGAAAAATTAGATGCATTAAAGGAACTAAATCACAGTATCACTCTGGTTTCAATTAGTGACACAACATTTAAAAAACAATACGATCAAAATTATTTAAGAAATGTTAAACTACACACGTCGAGATATTAGTAACTCAAAAAATGGTATTAACTACACACAAAAATATTATCACTATTATTGAGATGTTACTGGGTCCACCAATACCCATGAACCATGCTCCACCCAACTCAACATACACCCGTAATAAGGGAGATAAAATGTTTCTCTCGGTATCCCCTAGACTCCTGGTCTCAGTGTGTGACCATTAATTTACTCAGATAGCCTCAGTGTACTCCCAGTGTACTGTACAGTGGACTGTACTGTATATGTTTGCATGTATATATGCAATGACAAACGACCCTTCACCCCCCTCGTTCCTCTTACACTCGCCCCACACATCACCAAGACTCCCCTCCCTCTTACACTCGCCCCACACATCACCAAGACCCCCCTCCCTCTTACACTCGCCCCACACATCACCAAGACCCTCTCCTTACACTCGCCCCACACATCACAAAGACTCCCTCCCTCTACACTCCCCCCACATCACTAAGACCCCCTCCCTCTACACTCCGCCCCACACATCACCAAGACTCCTCTTACACTCCTCTACACTCTGCCCCACACATCACCCAAGACCCCTCCCTCTACACTCGCCCCACACATCACCAAGACCCTGTCCCTCTTACCTGCCCCACACATCACCAAGACCTCCTTCTACACTCGCCCACATCACAAAGACTCCCTCCCTCTACACTCGCCCCACACATCACCAAGACCTCTCCCTCTACACTCGCCCCACACATCACCAAGACTCCCCACACTGCCCCACATCACCAAGACCCCTTACACTCGCCCCACACATCACCAAGACTCCCTCCCTCTACACTCGCCCCATACATCACTAAGACCCTCCCTCTTACACTGCCCCACACATCACCAAGACCCTCCTCTACACTGCCCCACACATCACCAAGACCCTCTTACACTCGCCCCCACATCACCAAGACCCTGTCCCTCTTACACCGCCCCACACATCACCAAGACTCCTCCCTACACTCGCCCCATACATCACTAAGACCCCTCCTCTTACACACGCCCCACACATCACCAAGATCCTTCCCTCTACACTCGCCCCACACATGACCAAGATCCTCCTTCATACCTGCCCCACATCACCAAGACCCTCTTACACTCATCCCACACATCACCAAGACCCCCCTCCCTCTTACACTCGCCCCACACATCACCAAGACCCCCTCCCTCTTACATTCGCCCCATACATCACTAAGACCCTCTCCCTCTTACACTCGCCCCACACATGACCAAGGCCTTCCTCCCCTCCACTCCTATACTCGCGCCATGTCAAGGAAACACCAAGTCGAGAAGCTGTAGACGTGAGGTGACGAATTTTGACCTAACATGACCAGGGTTACCGCCACTGACACCATTTAGACGAACACAAATAATCTGTGAGTTGATGCACATAATAAATTTGAAATTTTTATAACGTTTATTTAACTTTTCTCAAAAAAAAAAAATGGGGGGCAAGCAAATTCCTTCCCCAAATTTGCCAAGGTAAGTAAAAAAAAAGATCTCCGGGCAAGTAAATTTAAAACTCACTTGCCCGGGACAATTAATGCTTCACATACTCTGCACAGCCTGGTCCAAGAGCTGGTATCAAACACAAGGGGAGATTTGTAACTGATCATGATCATGCCTGGGGCACTTATTCTGGACGACAAAAGTAGCTCCGCCAAGTTCAAGAACTCTGCCGCCATATATGTTTGGGACAGCGGCAAACATACCACAATCACGAATTTCAGGGGTGTGTCAAGGGCTTTATTGGTGGACCTAGACAATGGATCTCTTCAACTATCAATAGTGGATGATGACAACCTTATACCTCACCTCATCCCAGTTAGCGGCAGGAAGAACATGGATGGTAAAGTTGAGGCTCGCAGCTATGGCCCGCAGCATGAGGTAGTCAGTGCCGTAGTACTGGGTGAGACCACTGCCCTCATCCTGAATCCAGTAGGGTGAGAATGGCAGGGCGGTCACGTTTACCTGCTCACCAAAAAAGCTGAAAATTTGGAAGAAAATACTAAAATTGTTGCGACCACAAGCAATGTGACACCATAAGTAAATATAAGTCTGATTTCACAACTACATAAATCAAATATAATACCTAGAAGTAATGAAACTCACCCACGTGACGTGTGAGTTTCATTACTTCGGATCATATAAATGTTCGCCCTCAAGCTTACATCACCTGATAGTTTAACAGGGTGGGTCCAGGCCTTGTCTCTATACCTTCACATCCACAATGGGATTACTCAAGTGTCATCTCATTCTTATAGGTGAGTTATCAAAAGAGTCCAGAGAATTTGACCCAACCAAGAGAAAGGGAGATGGGGGGAGATTAAGTAATATGACACTTACCACTGTAACTCCCAAAATACACTCATAAAAGATTAGTTATCAGCTCGGAAATATTTCTTGAAAGACTGACAAGAGTAAAGAGACCTCTGCTTGTATTCCGAAACCATGTTATTTAATATAAGGGCGAGTGAAGAAGTGCGTCCTTGTTAAGTCAGGCTCGGGAAGACAGTCATTAGGTTGGGATAATTTGATGAGTAAATGGTGTAAAAGACTCCTCTGTGCCCAGGTGCGTCTCTTCACAAATAAAGTCAACGCCTGGAAGGTACAGTACTTGTTTGGATGAGGCTTATTTGTTTATTGGTATTAAACTTTCAGTTATCTATGATAGTATCTCCGTGGCACAAGGCAAGGTATTTGTTTTTATTATTCAGTGAAATGTTCGCATCTGTATTGTTCAAAATACTACCAAATGATCAGCTGGCAACACTGACATACACTAAAAGGGGAACATTACTTAGAGAATTTCTCTGGGAACAGCTGCTGGTGTGAGATGAGTGTAAGTCCAGTAGCTTGGGTCCACCTGGCCACCCGCGCCACCTGCGCCTTCCTCGGGCTGTACGGAAGGTATACGAACATCCCCAGTCTGTCAACGTGTCACAAAATTCTAGGTTAGGAGGAAAATATCGTGATTTTCAATGTAAGATTTCTTTAATTCTAATTTATTGTTTTTTTTTTATATTAATCAATATTAATTATTAAGCCAATAAGTTCGATTGAGAGCAAAATTGACTATAAACACAAAGACTTGTGTACTGTAGTCTGTATAGTTTCGCTGATAATGTTAATAATCTTAAATTACTCTTAAACACCAAAACACAGCTACATCTGTACGAATCACTCGTCAGACAACACCTTGAATACCCACCAATTCCACTTAACACAATAACTAAAAAAAAAAAAAAAAAAGCTGCAAGTAGTCCAAAATACAGCAAGAAGAACAGCAAAACACAGGCCGCCATACAGACATAAAATACGAGACATACACATTGAACATAACATAGACACAATTAACAAAAGAACAAAAAACAAGCAAAGGCGGTATGGGACAAACTACACCGAACACAAGACCCTATTTTACAGGAATTAGTACAGGCAAACAACAATATATCACACAGCTGGTGGCCAAGAAGCATCAACATTAACACAATCAGCCCGGCACCATTATACGCGAGAATACCACCACTCATATAACCGAAAAGAAGGGAACTATCCTGCCAGTTCACACAAGGACCTGGTGGGACCCCCCAATCACAAAAGATGAGGAACATCCCTTTAGCAACACACGGACCTGAAGGGACCCTCCAACAAACCATAAAACAGCACATTCCCTTGGATCGCACTTTAAACCAGCTTAGCTTAGCTTAGCTTATCTAACCTCCCTTGCCCCTGGTGGACTGAGGGACGTCTGTCATTGGTTAAGCCACAAACCAGCCTCCGTAAGGTGGAAAGCCCACCTGCTATCATTCTTCTTCTGTACTTCCCACTTCTTAACTATACCTTGCCCGAAATCTCCTTGTTCACCTCAGAGCCACGGCTCTCTTATCTCGGTGTTCTAACTGACTGACTTCTTGGAACGTTGTTTTATGTTAATAATCATTAAGGTGTCATAAGAGGCACTATACTGTACCTTGTAGGGGTAACTTGTTCCAGGTTAAGGAACATGGTATTCATCATGGTGAAGGTCCAGTGGCTGGTTACTAGGTGTTGCAGCTCTGGCAGGGCCAGTTGGGTCACAGCCAGCAGCCTTGTTGCCCACACTAACAGCCGACTCTTCAATGACCATTCGGCAAATGCAGTAAGGAAGGCGGCACGGTTACTCACCACCACTACCGTCATGCACCGCGACAGTACACGAACCTGCCCGTTCGATATAAACACACTTTCCTTAAACAAAACCTCTGTGGACCCACGTGATAGTCATTAAAATATTTTCTCTGGTGCCTTAAGACCTTAAGTAACTTCCCTTTATGTCTACTTCAGCATTAAAACACATATAAAAATTAAATAATTTACCAAGATAGTAGAGGGAGAGAAGTGAGGACGTCACTGAAACATAATGCTAAATATTCCTTCGGTGGACCTAGATCATGACACGAAATACATAACAAATACAAAAGCAACACTATAAAACACTGTTCACTTCAATGTACAGTATTAAACACAGATTAGTATTAGAAAGTCAGAGCAATATTTTATTTAAATACATAGCAAAGGACAGTTTAATTACGTATCAGAGTTTTCATTTATGTGTCTCCGGATAATCTTAATAAAAATTACATTTATAAAAATTATAAATATTTAAAGAAACATACTTTACAACCTACATGAACCTTCTTGGCAAATTTATATAATTTTTTTACCGATTTCTCAAAACAGTAACTTATTCATTATCCAGGGCTATAGACAGGGGCGGATCCAGAAATGTCATCAAAAGGGGGTCCAAGAAGGTGAGAGTGGGGGAGCGTGGCGAGTACAGCGAGCTCACTCAGCTGGGGATAAGAGGGGGGGGTGTAAGCCTCCAGATTTTGTTTTTTTAATATGACCAATATCATGGACATTTTGAAGCATGTGCAATAGTAATTACTTTTTGCTATACAAAAATGTCTGAGTGCAATATTACAGTGCTTTAAAGAAAAATTATTGGAATTTTCTGATGAAAAGTGGGGTCTGGACCCCCAGGACCCCCCTGGAACCGCCCCTGATAAATGAAAGACTAATTGGTTTTTAATAGGAAAACAAGATACAGTAGTTCACCGTACTGTACTGGTACTGTATTGGATCGCTACATTATATCATCTGGACACATCACTCAACACCGTGAAACACCTGGACTATCAGCATCATTAAATGTTCGTGATTTATATCTTATAAGAACAAATAAATTCTTAACCAAAATTCACACGTCTTATTTTCTTCTCAAGAAGTGAGTAAGAGTATTAATATTCACGTATAAACACACATGTCTAATATAAACACCCCGAGGAAACACCATGAGACTTACAATAAAAGTTCTCTTATAACTTGCCTGCAATCTTACGCTCAATAACTAACTAAAGGGCAAAATGCTGGGACTTACTTGACGCATGTGGGCCACCACCTGGGAGAACTGAGTGTGTGTAGCGTTGGTGATGTGAGCGTCGACCACTACCTCGAACACCCCGACACCTGCCGGCGCCACCACCTGTGTCATCATGAGTTAGTGTTCAACTTGTCACCAATAAAAATATGACCAGATAAGAAAGATTTATGTGAAATATGTTGACCAACAATATGAAAGATTTATAGTTGATATTTTTTTTTATTTCTTATTATATCAAACAAAATGTGATTGAGTACAGTATAGTACATCCCAGTCAATACCATAATCTAATAGACATTATCAATGATGTGTCTGACATGCATTTCCAATTCTGCTTTTATATTTAAGTCCATCTTTTAGTACAAACACATTAAACGTCTTTTATTTCAAGACACTTAATTTGGCACATAATCGCTTCAAATTTTTATTACTTAGAAATTCTAAGTTAGAATGTATCTGTTCCTGAGACACCCTACAGCTGTGTGTGTGTGAGGTGTCACAAGACTTGCATATCCTCTTTCTTCATATTAATGGTTACCACAAATAACCATATTGTCTTCACTTTTAATTTGTAGTTTTCCTCAAATACTAAACTTGTTATTAAACTATAATATTGAGAATAGTGTCTGGCTGGCTGCTGAGTTCACCCCTTAATTAACAGCTCCTTAATAAAAGGGTTAATCAAGGGTAACAAGAGGAACGTCACCACACGATCCGCCAACTGATTGACCTCACAGCCACTATGTGCTGTTGGGACGGTACCATGATGAAAATAGACCAATCTGTCCAAGTTTTATCTGGACTTGGATTCGAATCCAGAACCAAACACTTGTAAGACTAGTGGACTAACCATTTTACCACTGGGGCCCCCCACACACAAACAACCACCTGAAATCCATCACTGGAAAGACATCATGATGAATAATACTTAAGAATGTAATGTGAAAAAAAGATGCATAAAGGAGATGATTAGTGACCTTGTAAGGAGCAGCGGGGATTTTGTGGCCGTCAGTGAGGAAGGCGACACAGCAATGGCGGTGGGAGGAGCCTCGCAAAACAGCATTGACACCACTACTCGTCGCCTCCACCAGCTCCCTCCCGGACTCCTCGGAATTGTTCTTTTTAAACAACACTGTCAAGGTTTGAAAAATACAATACCAATAACTGTTTACATCGGTTATAATATCCCTGAACGTATTCGCGGGATATTTTGGGAGCCTTCGTACCACCAAGTCCCTAAACATTTTTCGTAGCGACCCAAAACTAAATCGGCCAGGCGAGCTCGCGACCTACCGTATAAAACAGACAACCATTAAAGACATTCAATAATGTTATTAACTAGTTGTTGTTGATTATGACCAAAGGGTAAAGTGTTGCTGACATGTAGCTGGCCTCACTGTCAGGATTAAACTTGAACATCGGGTTTGATCGATGATTTTGACAATTCTACTCCAGCAATATTTCAGAAAGGCATAAGTACTGTACTCTAATAAGGAATGCTGCATAAATGATTATAATGGTTCCTTTCGTTACACCCAAGTAAAAAAAATGTAATCGGGTTTTCAAGGAATCAAAATCTCTTCGAATAGGAAATTAATGTGTTCAGCAACTGAAGTACATATAAAATAACAGAAAAACACACTCACCAACAAATTTTACAGGATGGCAAAACGTTTAAATTATTTCATGTCTTTGTGACAAACTATTTCCCAAGTTAAACATTTTGACCCCAGGTTATTAATCGGCGTGTTGAGGGTTGCCATGTGGTTGTCGTTTTTTAAAGTTTTATTTGAACATAAATATATTTCGCATCAGGGAGAGACTTTGTGAACACCTGTAGTTATTACAGTAAGCTCGGGCACATCCAAGACTTCTTAAAGGGTGGAGGAGAGATTGTCAAGCTGCCATCATCAGTAATTATCTCCCTATACAATAAAAAAAAAAGGAGGATTGTGTTTATCAGGTGACTGTAATTTTTGGCATCTCAACCAGTTAAACATTAGTTCAGATCTTTTATCACAGACCAGTGCTCCTCCCTCGGTGGGCTGGACTCACTAAACACCATCATGTCTGTTCGATCTTGATTCTCCTTGGCCAAGCGTGGAGGGGAGGTGACTTTCCCACCTTAGGGTAGATGGACTGTCCTCGTGATTACGCTCTCATCGATATCAATAGTATTTACAGTGACGCTTTAGTATCGAGAAGAGGAGTTAGGTATGTGCGTGTCGCGAGGGAATAACAAAAGGAATATTGTATCTAGCGAGGACAGGCCGTGTTGCTTAGCAGGTCGCTTCCTGTAAAGAAGAGAGCGTTTTTATGGGTGATGGATCTATATTGGACTCACGTGAGACACTACGGAATTTGGTCTAATGTTGTCACGTCGCTAACTACTGTGGTTATCAAGTTATATGACACCAAATTCAGGTTCAGAAAATATGTCATTTGCACCCGTCTGTTTACACAAATATATCCAGTACAGAGCAGAGAAATATTGTAGATTTCACTATAAAAATCCTGGGTTTGCTTAAAGACGGTTTCATGATGTTTGACTAACTTTTGGATTTTTTTTTGTTTCACATTTTGTGGACTTTTAATATGTTGAGGTCAGTAAAGGCAAATGTATTTTTCAAACAATGGAATGGAATTAAAATAGAAAGACAATCGTTATATCCAGTAAAACGCAATTTTTTATCACCTTGACACTCATAAACAAGACTGTGTCCTCACATCACCAACAAACACTGAGAACAATAGTTTTATTATTGTTTCTTCAACATGCAAATATACATGAAAAAGACCAAAACCTTATTGTACACCACGTAAATATTTAAAATAATTGATAGAAAATGAAAATAGGAAGAATTTTCTATGACTGAATTCAATATACGTTAGAGGTTGAGTTGAGTTTACTTAACTAAGGTAAGAAGTGTTACAGGGGTGACTGTTGGTTGACTGACCTGCAGGGCCGAGCAGAGGGGAGGAGGACGCCTGACACACACACACCACCACCACCCACACGATCCTCACCCTCATCCTCCCTCACCTGCAACACACAGGAACTTTCACAAAAAGATACGTACGAGTATTATAAAATTTTAAGTATAATTTACAGTTCCCTTTCTCTCTAAAATTTACACGGTAGTAATAAATACATAATAAAAGTGTCCAGACCAAGACTTCAACACGAGGGTTTACTGTATTATGGTATAGTACAATAGTGAAAATTTGTTACAGTCGATTCATAATATTAAGGAGTCACATCAGAAGCTCAAAGTTGGTACGATGTTATTTTTGGAACCTGTGTTTGCATAAGAGTTAAAATTGACGTAAATACAAAAATTCAAGGGTTGGGAAGATTATTATTTTTTTTAGCTCAGAGGTTCAACGTTGACACGACAGGAATTTTCAGGACCGCATGCACGCACGCACGCACGCACGCGAAAACACACACGCAGAGGTACTACAAATAGTATCGTACCAATCTTGAACCCCTCATAATTATGAACCCTTCAAGAAATTTATTGCCGAACTATATCTGAATTTGGCAGTAATGAACCACAGAGCACTGCCATCAAACCCCCAACTTGAATATCAGGGATTATGGTAATGTGTCTGTCTGCTATAACCCCGAAAATAAATAAATAAACAGTGAGCGGTGGTCGTGTGGATATTGTACTTGTCTCCTGCTTTAAGAGTCGATGTCTTACTCGTATGACCCCCCCCCCCTCCCCCAAGTCCTCTTAGCTGTGAGTATCTGACTACGGTTGGGAAGTATAGGGAGTCGTATATGTTGTCGATGACCTTGGCTTCTGTATTGAGGTCTCAGTAGTGATTTATCCACATTGCCTTTGGCGGATTATCAGTCTAATGGAGTTCACTTTTACTATGATGAATAATAAAAGCACAGTATGAGAACACCTTTAATTTCATACGAACGGGAAGTAAGCTTATGAAAGAACTAACAAATTACTTCAGTCAACCGTTTCTTAGAGAGCAATAAAATATATACGAATCTTGACGTTATCAGCCGAGGTCCTGGACTGGTATAGAGTTGAAGCCATAGGTCTGAGGTCCAGATAGAGCGCTGTAACTCTAGGGAAGACGTAAATGTAGCTGATAAAAGACTAAAACTTTTCATGAACTCACCTTTCATCGGCTCTGGGCCACATTTGCCATTGTAAATATAGTGGAGGCTCCAAAACTTTAGATCTACATTCAAGAAAAAACCCGCCCTCATATATACAGTTATTTGTAGTTTTACACAAGTCTACCTGTTACCAGTTATATGGTATATGCTACCACTTTCTCAATGTAAAGGCTGGCTGTTGGGTGCATTGCTAGCCATTTGGTCAGACACACGGCAGTTCCCCCACCCTCTCTCTCTCTCACTAAATTCTTAACATGTTATTACATATTTTCTTTATTTTCACTCTGACAAGGAATCACAAATATTTAGAATTTTCTAATAAACCCTTGCGGGCTCCATAATACGGTTCCGCGAACTGCAGGTTGGGGACCTCTCTACAGTAGACGATATTAATTCTAACTTCTTATGTGATTTGATCTTTACGATGTTTTTAATTGTTTGTTGTCTTTTGGAGAGTAGAATACGTGTGATTCCAAGACTGATGATTGTAACCAAGTACAAGGGAAAAAACTATATTACAGTCAGTACAGTTTCAAGACAGGAGGCACGCTCAAAGATCCGCTGTACGATGAATAGAGTATAAGGAATTCGAGGTTATAGTCTGTGATTGGTGACCGTATCAGAAAGCGATATTTTACCAGGGTAGAGTAACCTTCTCTAACAAGGGATAACACGCCATCGTAATCGATTTACTGTAGAAAGAGAGAAATCAACTGCTAACCCACGTAACGTCACACTGCCACTATTGGTTTGATGAAACTGTCACTTTAATCAAGATTTTAATATAAATGAATCTACTGCTCCAAACGAAATATTAATTACATATACGAATTCATATTCAGTGGCATGAAATTGAATCCAATACGAAAATTTAAATCTTACTCATGAAAGAACGTGACGTGACCTCCTCCATTGACTACCTTTTAGGATCCCTCGTAAATATATATGATTGACGATGATGTTTCGTGATTTGCAAGTTACAGGAGAGTTGCGCGGGAAAATCATCGCACAAAAGAAATATTCGACAATTTTGTTGTTATTATTTTCAGCCATGTGTATGCTCCATAGCAGCAGTGTCTAGTTGTATCCTTCATCACGTCACAGTCTCGCATAAATATTGATCAAATAGTTCGTCATAGTGAACGCGTTATGTCGTTCTGTCACTTAGCAGACCGCCAACTGTCATCCACAGTCACTGACGTTATATGCTATTCTTAGTTGAGAGTATTCAACCCATTGATACTCTTTGCCGAACAAAAGACGTTCATTAACGGGTAATCGACGTTTTTAGGCTATGTTTACTGGCTATTGTCATCCTGTCTGCAGCTGTATACCATCCACAGCGGGGTGGTATTGTTCAGTAAAGAATAGCCGGTAAATGCTCATGAATATCAAGACATCAAGGATTTTCAGCTGAGCCATGCCACTAACAAGACACAGCAGACAAAAGGTCAGCTTCTGTCTGTTTAAAGTTAGATGACCCACAGACCTGCTTCCTTCGCGTGTCCCACTGGTGTTACGCACAAAGTTCATAATAATAATGGCCATTTTGCCTTGAGGAATCAATTAATGCAGAATATAGTTACAGCGAGATTAGTATGGATTTCATTTTTTTAAGACACTTGTTCAGAAAAACTCCCCCGTCAGGCTATTTTCGACAACTGTACTGTACTGTCCTCAGAAATACGGCAATGCCTTTAGGGGAGATGGTCTTGTGTATGGGATCCCCTCTGTGATGAATAAATAGTCTGGCGTTAACCAAATAAAATGTTGAAAGTGGCGGCCCGTAGTGAAGGGTTTAAGGGAAACTCAGTCTACTGTTAATTGTCTTATTACTTTTTTCTGGTTTAAGTTTAACAGTTATCCCAGTAAGAGAAAACAACTACACAGAATAACTACTTTACTACAAGACAGTCAGAAGTTGTAGATGTTTTATACCATTAATGTACTTTAACATAAAGACTCCTGGAATATGCTACCACAGACAACACGACACCAGGAATAATGATGAGTGCCGCTCTTAGTTCCATTGTATTGATGTCATATAGTTCAAGATTTCGATAAAAAACAAATTAAAACAATATAAATCCATCAGAAATAACTATATTTCAATAATGATTCACTACTACCGAACGTGACACAGTTGTTGTGTGTGTGTGTGTGTGTGTGTGTGTGTGTGTGTGTGTGTGTGTGTGGGTGTGTCTGTGTGTGTGTGGGTGTGTGTGTGTGGGTGTGTGTGTGTGTGGGTGGTGTGTGTGTGTGTGTGTGTGTGTGTGTGCTCAGTGTGGGTGTGGGTGTGTGTGTGTGTGTGTGTCTGTGTGGGTGTGTGTGTGTGTGTGTGTGGGTGGGTGTGTGGAGGGTGCGGTGTGTGTGTGTGTGTCCTTTTCAACCTGATAATGTACTCAAATGAGTTTTATGTCAAGTATAAAAGATTCAAGATGTGTCAGCCGGCCATCACACACGAGCAGGTGGCAAAAAGTAGACCAGGACGCCAGTATGAGGAATAAAGGGACACTAGTTGGATCCTTCGTCACCTGTTTACGGAGATTTGACATATTTTGCCTCACGCTCACAGTAAAGTCGCGTTAAACTTTATGTCATGGATACACCTCTCTCCAGCGACTGACACAAGTACCAGAATTGTAAGTATTGGGGGCATACATTCCACATCACACTAAACACATGGACATACAAACGAATCAAAAATAACCTCTTTACATGCAATGCACCAGCAGTAAATCTCTCTTGGTCGTGTTTAAATCATTTATGCACTAATAACAGTTATTCTATCAGCAGGCACGGCAGACGGGGAAGGGGGTGGCTAGGCTTTACATATACGTGCTGACTATTACTTACCTTTAAATATCTAGTGAATCGACATCCGCAAATTGTTTCCATTTTTGAAGAGCAAATAAGGGGTCAGTACCTTTTGAATTATTGTATCAAAGGAAAATTGGGCCGAAGATTATGAAAAATTGAGTAGTAACGGAGGAGTCGTCCTGTTCCTCTGCGTGTGTGTGTGTGTGTGATGTGCTCCTGGCAGGCACGACAGATACGCTGTGCTGGAAAAGTACCACGAGCAGGACATGAACTAACTCATTCTTACCCAACGACCACTCGGTAATTTTGATTATGTTGGTTGGTTGGCTTGATGGCCTGGTTAGAAAAAATAGGAATTAGTTTTACGGTTCTTTTTATGAAAAATTCCAACATTGTATATTGCACTTCACGTAACACAACAGTATTTATGATGCTACTGAATACTCTTCCGTAAACATGTAAATAAAACAGCGTCAGGTGAGTGCATTAGCGAGGACTGTCATGAATACTTTGGTGAAGGTAAGTAGTAAGACAACATACAGGGGAGCAACATTATCCTCACTTGTGGGAGACCTCACGCATCAACAAGTGTGGACGATGTTGCTGTTGTAATACTGTACAAGTATTCACGCGATCTCCATGAAAATTTGTAGGGCAGTGTGTATACATTTTTATGACACACCTTGTATATAGTGATAGGTGGACAAGTACCTGTGTTATGAAGTGTGTCTCATCAACTAGCAGACAATGCCATATAAGCAGGAAAGGATATACTGTAAGTTTGTTATTAACACTTTGTATAAGCTGACAAACTTTACATTGAGCAAAAACCCTGACCACATGGGGCCCATATGCTCTCATTAACAACAGCATAATGGCAATTAAGAACATAAGAACATAAGAAAGTGGGATACTGCAGGAGGCCGACTGGCCCATACAGGGCAGATCCCTTTCACACCCATCCCAGCACTTCCATGTGCCTATCCAACTTCGTCTTGAAGCTCCCTAGCGTTCCCGATCCTA